GGCTCGCGCGCCGGCAGCGCACGCGGGTCCCCGCCCGCCGGGCCCGGCGCGCGCTCGGGCTGGCCTCGGCCCCGGTCGCGCTGCTCTGCGGCGTCGTCGTGCTGTTCAACCTGGGCTCGATGCTCAAGGCGATCGACAAGCAGGCCGGCTCCTGGTCGATGGGTGCCGACGCGATCTCCCACCTCACCGGTGGCTCGTGCGGTCTCTCGAGCCGGGTGTTCGCCGAGCGCAGCCCGCTCGACGGCGTGCTGCGCACCGCGCCGCCGCCCACGGGCATGGCCCCGCCCGCCCGGGCCGACCTGCTGCCGACCGTCGCCCCGCCCCCGGCGCCCGGGACGCCCGCCGCGCCGCTCGCACCGGGCACCGTGCCCGCGGGGAGCCCGGCCGCGGCGCTGGTCGATCCGTTCCCCACCAGCGAGGGCTTCCGCCGCGACGGCGTGCCCCCGACCGGCGGCGGGACCGGCGTCTCGGGCTACGAGTACACGCTCACCGCCGGGCTCGGCTCCGACGCCGCGCCCGCCTACGGCAGCTTCGACCGCGAGGGCCGCTCGACCGGGACGCTGCGCACGCCGTGGACGCTGCTCACCGACGAGCAGCGGCGCGGCGCCACCCCGCTGGTGGTCACGCTGGCCGGACGGATCGGGGCCGGCAACGCGCTCACGCTGCAGTTCGCGACCCGGCTGCCCGACGGCCGGGTGCAGGTCGTGGAGCAGCGCGTCATCGACGACCTCCGCCGTGACGAGGGCCCGTGGCGCGAGGTGCGCGTCCCGTTGCGCGGCGACGCGACGACCGCGACCGAGGTGCGCCTCGTCGCCCAGGACACCTCGCTCGGCCCGGACGGGTGGCTCGCGGTGGCGCCGTTGCGCGCCCCGCAGCTCGGCCCGCTGTCCGACGTCGTGGCCGGGCAGCCGATGTTCCTCGAGTACCCGGTGTCGCTCGCGAGCCCGTGCCTGCGGCCCTTCGCCACGGCCGCCGGGATCGCCGAGGTGCCCGCCCTGCGCCTGCGCGCCGACGCCAGCCGGATGCGCAACGACGGCGAGGGCTGGTCGAGCCCCCAGGCCGGCGGCCCGCTGGGCTGGATCCAGGTGATCGGACGCTCGACGACGCTGCCGACCTACCTCGACGGCGACCCCAACCGCGACTGGGGCCGGGTCGAGCGCATCCAGCCCTACGAGCCCGGCGTCCGCCCGACGCTCGACCGCGTCGACCGCGTCCGCTGGGGCACCTTCACCAGCGGGCCGACCGGTGACCCGCCGCCGGGCGTGCCGTCGCCGGAGCGCTGACGCATGTGCGTGATTTTCGGGGCCATGACCCCAAGAATCACGCACGTGAGCTCCGCTCGACCCGGGCCAGCAGCGGCAGGGCGGCGAGGCCGTGCTCGCGCAGCATCCGGCGCACGAGGCGGTGGAAGCTCGGGCGCACCAGCTGGCGCCGGAGGAACGCGACCGGGCCGCAGGGCAGCTGGGCGTGGTTGACGAGCGCGTACGGGTCGCCGCTCGCGGGGCGGAGCAGCAGGGAGTTGTCGACCCCCGTCTCGGCGAGGAACCACGCCGCGGCCTGCTCCCACGCCGCCGTCGCGGCGTCCTGGTCGGGGCCGGTGAAGTGGTTGAACAGGTACACCCCGGTGCCCGGGCCGTCGGTGTCGCCCAGACGCCGGACGTTGCGTGCCGGGAGCACGGTCGCCGGACCCGCGTCGTCGAGACCGTCGACGGCGCTGCGCAGGAACGCGGCGCCCTCGGCGGTCGTGGCCCGCCCGAGCAGCAGCACGTCCCATCGCGGCAGGCCGGGGATCGGCGGCATGAGCGTGGTCGCGAAGACGTCGACGCGGGTGACGTCGTCGCGGCGCTCCGCCTCGCGGGCCACGCTCGAGAGGCGGTCGATCACCGCGGCGCGACGCGCGCTCCTCCCGACGCGCGGTAGGCGTGACGGCGGGTCGATCGACCACCCGACGTAGACGAAGTGGTCGTCGAGCGGCGCGACGAACGTCGGCGCCGGGTACCGGTCGGAGATCGTGGTGCTCATGGCCGCTCCTCGAGACTACGAATGTAGTGACCACTCTGGGGTCGATGCGGCGCGATGTCAACTACTTCTGTAGTCTCGATGTCGTGACCGATCGCCGTGAGCAGGTCCTGGACGCCGCGATCGAGGTCGTGGGCGGGCGGGGCCTGCGCGCCTTGACCCACCGCGCCGTCGACGCCGAGGCCGGCCTCGGCGCGGGGTCGACGTCCAACCTCTTCCGCCGTCGTCACGACCTCGTCGCGGGGATGCTCGGGCGCCTGCTCGAGCGGGAATCGGCGGCGTGGACGAGCACGGCTCCCGGGCCGGGA